CGGATGGTGGACCAGAATCACCTCGAAGCCGTACGGAAGTCATTCTCCATGGCCTCTCCGAATTCCTCCCACACCCGAGTTTTTGTCTCAGCGACCACCAGAGCCGCATCCCGCTTGGACTGCCGGTACCCATCAGTTGCTTCTGGGGTCCCACAGGCCAAAAAGGCCCAATAGGACTCCTTCTTCAGCCTGACAGCATCCCTCACTGCCGGTGTCCACCACCGGGTTCGAGGGTTGCCCCCGCGACAGACACCGACAACCTTGCTGCCATGGCTCCGATAAGCTGCCTCGACAATAGAGGCACAGAACATGACCCACTTGGACTCAATGTCCCCCACCTCCCCTGGAACATGTTCAAAGCTCTCCCGGAGGTGGGAGTTAAAGCTCCGTATAACGGGAGTCTCTGCCAGACGTTCCCAGTAGACTTTCACAATACGTTTGGGTCTGCCAGGTCTGACCGGCATCCTCCCCCACTTGGACAAATTCTTCTTGTTTAAATGTTTCATTTTTAATCCAAAAGATTTCTACAGTCTGAGGAGTTCCTCAAACTGAAGACGTAACTTTTTTAGATAAAAAAAAAGCACAGAAGTTATAAAAATGGGTTTCAACATTGAATGTTGAAACAGTAAAATGTGCAAAATTTTAAGTGTTCAGAGTTCAACTGGCAGATGATCTGAAGATAGAAGCTCTTCATCCTCTCACTGTGTAACCTCCGGCAGCAGAATCACTGGCTTGATGGCAGAAAGGAGAGGAATGAGTGTCGGGGTGGTTGGGCTGTTTGAAGATCTTCTCAGTTTTGACCCACACCGCTGAATGTAGATGTCCTGCATGTTGGGGAGAGTTGTTTTGATGGCCTGCTCAGATGTGCAGACCACCCGTTTATGTGCTTTAAGTCCTCTTTGGTGCAGCAGCCCATCCAGGTGGTGATACTTACACTCAAGAAGCTCTTGATAGTACAGGTGTAGAAGTTCTTGAGTGCCTTTAGGGGAGCCTGAAGTTTCTGAGGCATCTGAGATGGAAAATATGTTGTCTGACACTTCTTAACTGTTCTATTAACATAGAGTGACCAGGACATATCCAATGTAATTGCCACTCAAAATTTTATGAAATGGGCCACCCTTTCCACCTCTGCCCTGCTGATCCAAAGTGGATGAATGCCATTGTATTTTTTTTTCTGAAATCCACAGTCAGCTCTTGAGTTTTGCTGACATTTAGAAGGAGACTATTTTCCTGACACCAGCCCTCCAGGTGGGAGATCTTCTTCCTGTAGTCTTCCTTGTTGCTCTGGGAGATCAACCTCATCATGACTGAGTCAACAGCACACCTATTTATGATGTTACTGTCTGATGTGGACACACAGTCATGACTGTACAGAGAGTAGAGCAGGGGGCTCAGCACACACCCTTGAGGAGGTCCAGTGTTGAATGGGAGGGATGATGATGTGTGCTTGTAGACTAAGTACCACCTGTTGTCTGCCTGTCAGGAAACTGTGACTCTGAAACACTTAAAAGGGTGGGTGTTCAGTCCAAGATTGCACAGCTTAATTATCACCCTGGAGGGGACTATGGAGTTAAAGGCTGAGCTGTAATAAACAAACAGCACTCTCTATAGTTTCCCAACCTTCCCCCTCATGGGAAAGTGTTTTGTGGAGCAGGAGGGCTATGGCATTGTCTGTTCGGCCGGTATACAAATTGGTGTGTACCTAGAGGGGCTGGTGGGTAAGAAGTGATGAATGTTTTAATCAGTATCTCAAAACATTTTATCACCACTGCCGTAAGGGCTATGGGATGATAATCATTTGGGCATTCAGGGTAAGTTTTCTTGGGGGACAATTGTGTACATGTACATAGAAAAGTCTTAGATCTTTGAGTTCAGCTCATAAGAAATGGGAACAAAAACAGAAGAGTTGCATTTATATAATGGTTTACTGTAGTTGTCACGATCCTCAGTGTTGGAACCCAATTGCAGAGAGGCGAGCGAGGCAGGAGTTCAAAAACAAAAACAATTTATTTTTTAACAACAAAACAAAAGGCTGTCGGTGCAGCAAAACTTACTTGGGCAGATAGGATCAGAAACAAGGCAGAGCAGATAATCAGGTGGACAAGAAACAGACAAGACAGAAGAGGACTGAGATGTCTGTAAACACAGAACAACAAAAATATAAAGAGCAGACAGAGACAGAACCTGTCAAACAGAACTCAGAATGTAATTAAAGTGACACATTTACAAAGCACAATGAGAACACCACTATACATGAGGCAGGGATCAAAGCACCTTGAAAAGGAAGGAAATGATTTAGTTTGTGGGATGATTGTTTGAAGATATTAATGTTGGTTCCTGGTTGCAGCTTGAAGGAGAAGGCAGAGGCTTAGGCAG